TTGCCCAGTTTATATCATTTGAGCTTTCATTCTCTCTGCTTATGAAATGAAGGGTCTTGACAAGAATCTGAATTAATTCTTGTTATCAGTATAAAAGGACAGGACTCTGCAAATAGCTAAGGACTGAAGCCCTTCCTCATCTTTGTGCTAGCATGTCAGAGGGAAAAATATCCATAGATGAATAGTAGGATTTCAATTAAAGTCTAAAATAATCTAGGGGATAAATTTTGGAAGTGATCTCAAAAGACATCTTTTGGGATATTATGTAGTGTGACTCAATCATCATGGTTTGCCATTCTAAAAGTCTTCTGGGTAATGTTGCAAGTAAAAATGCCTCAGGCATACAAGATACTACCAGAGTCTGCAGTGCTTCAACGAGGGAATGAAACCGCTAATAGTATTGCTGTTGTGCAATCTAATGTTGAGGACAAAACCAATTCAAAAGTCTTGTGTGAATTGGCATTGGAATCAATGTGTGAGATGAAAACTCTGGTCTTGCTTCTGAAAGTCTATCGAAACCATTAGATGGATCATTAAAAATTGCATTCCTAAATATTCTCCTAAACCAGTGCTAGAAATATTACCTATGAGACACAACTTTTTTGTATCAATGGAAATATCAAATAAAAATTCAGTCAACATTTCTGGGATTCTCTGTTCTCCTGCTAGTAAAAATAGCAAAGGCATTTTATGCTGAGAATTTTTTTCTAATTTTTAGGAACAGATCATTCAATCAGGCAGAGAGGCACTGTCCATTTTTCATTTAAATAAAAAGTATCCAACATTTGGGAGCTCTTCAAAATAAACTAAGAAGCTCTGAAGAACAAGGAAGAGAAAACAAGAGACTCGTCTGTTTGCAATGACACAGTTTTCAGTTACTAAATTCCAGCATATCTATGAAAGAGTTTCAGTTGAAATTAAAAAATGTTATTTTCTGTATGGTTAATGAATGCTGGCTACCTAGCAGCACAACACCTTCCCAAAAGCAATCAAAACCCAAAACTACAGCTTTTAGAAAAAAGCTCCTGTGTTTTCTCAGTTCTGCAACATCCGAAAAAAAAACTGCCAATAAAGAACAAAATAATTGCCAATACTCCCATCAAAAACATGGGCTTCCTGTACTTTTTATGCATCTTGCCAGGCTTTCCCTGTTTAATTTGTTTTTTAAAGTTCAAAAAGGAAAAATATTAATGAAGAACATAATTCTTTAAAATTAAAGAATTTATTAGTTATTTACATACTTCATAAAAGCATTTTAGTAGGCATGACTTGCTCCCCTTAACTAGATACCACCTTCTCCATTTTTCCTTTTAATGAGCTTTTATGAAAAAAGAAGCTCTAAGTTTTACTGGTAGAAAAAAGCACCATGTAAGAGAATCATAACTACACAATACCTTAGAATGAATATATTAATAACTGTCCATTTTCTTCTATAGATCTTGACATATTCTAGTCATTTTGCAGAGCTATAAGGTCATCTGTGCAAAAGCCTGCAATCTGGAGTCCCTGCTGATTCCACCAAAAAGAACATATAATATTGTATAATATATGTCCGTGTAGATCTGAATAAAACCAAAATGACTTCTGGTAACTGCATGATCTTTGCTAAAACATCATTTTGCAGTATGGGGCTTTGACAACATTATGAAGGCAAAAGAACAGTAATGATTAAAAAAGGGAAGCATCCTCTAAGTGCTATTCATTTTTAAAGTAAACGGAATTTTACAGGAAATAGTATTAGCAACAACAATAAATGGCATTAATGCCATTTTAATTCCTTTTAACTCTATTACTGCTTGTCAATACAATCAGCAGGATGACAATTACTGAACGGCATTAATATAATTTCTTTAAATGTTTGATCACATTCGGGCATTGACCCTGTCCACAGGGGTTCAGCTGAATGTGATTGCAAGTTTTCTACATTGTAATTTACAGTTACATTCAGATGTAAAATGTCCAGCTGCTGCTAAGGAGAACAGCAAATAGAGAAGCTCGACATGACCTGGCAATGTGCGCTCACAGCCCAGAAAGCCAACCGCGTCCTGGGCCGCATCAAAAGAAGCGTGGCCAGCAGGTCAAGGGAGGTGATTCTCCCCCTCTACTCCACTCTCATGAGACCCCACCTGGAGTACTGCATTCAGCTCTGGGGCCCCCAACATAAGAAGGACATGGACCTGTTGGAGCGAATCCAGAGGAGGGCCACGAAGACGATCAGAGGACTGGAGCACCTCTCCTATGAAGACAGGCTGAGAGAGTTGGGGTTGTTCAGCCTGGAGAAGAGAAGGCTCCAGAGAGACCTTATAGCAGCCTTCCAGTACCTGAAGGGGGCCTACAAGAAAGCTGGAGAGGGACTTTTTACAAGGGCATGTAGTGATAGAACAAGGGACAATGGGTTTAAACTGAAAGAGGGTAGATTTAGATTAGATATAAGGAAGAAATCCTTCACTATGAGGGCGGTAAGGCACTGGAACAGGTTGCCCAGAGAAGCTGTGGATGCCCCATCCCTGGAAGTGTTCAAGGCCAGGCTGGATGGGGCTTTGAGCAACCTGGTCTAGTAGAAGGTATCCCTGACCATGGCGGGGGGGTTAGAACTAGATGATCTTGAAGGTCCCTTCCAACCCAACCCAAACTATGATTCTATGAAATATTTTAAGAAAGTATTGATGTGTTAATTGTCTTAATTTAATTAGGAAGTTAATTATGTCTTCAACTATTTATTGAATGCAGATTGTGATAGACCGATTCTTGATGTGAAGAACTGATTTTTAACCTCTGCAAGACAAAAACCACAATTCCCCAAAACATTCAAACATTAAACTTCTGATCTGAAACCCTGAGGTATGAAATTGGAATAAAATTGCTGTCTCCAGAGATACAGTGCATGGCTAAACAAAGGAAATACCACTGATTACATATCTTTATTTGATTTTTGACACAAACATCTATTTTGGTGTGCTAATTATTGCTTTACTCAGGTAATCTCTAAAGATATTTAATTAGGATTCCAAAAAAAAGTTAGACTGATACATAACAAATTTAAGCTTTCTGGTGGTAGTGTACCATTAAAAAGTATTATCATTGAAAAATACTGGTGATCTAGAAAAATATATGGAGCTAAGTATGACAGACTTACTTTGGAAGAGAACTGTCAAAACCCTGTGCTAGAGCTCAGGATACTCCAAACGACATCCTGGAACAAAGATGACCTTCTGCCCCTGGCTCTCTAGATCAAAAGGAAACATCATTCTACTTGAAATCTAGTCCTGTAGGTGGTTTGTTTGAAATCTTGCTCTTTATTCCTTCCTCAATGTACGGGGTAGATTAACTAACTGCTTAAACAAAGAATGTATGCCGTGTACACTAGTAGGAAATGCTATGATAGCACGAGAGAAAACAGCATTATCAGTAGCCATTGTTCAAGAGTAATGCCAAATATTAAGGAACTCTGAACAAAGAGCTTAAGATCTTGTTAATCATTTAGATATAAAAATGAGTTAGAGCCCAACGGGTACTAGGTAACTTCATCTTTGAACTGATGTAATAAAAGCTGCCAATGGGCCCATCAGCTGAAAGTGTCACAAAAGAAGGTATCTTCTCATATTGTTGAATCAGAGCAGAACAGCAAACCATTAATATGATATGGCTTTGAAAAGGCAAAAACAATTATAGGATATATCAGTAACCTACTTCTAGAAGAGCTAAAATACACAGAATCATAGAACAGCCCAGGTCAGAAGGGACCACAAAAGACCATTTGGTCCAAGCTTTCGTGGGAAAGGGAGCCTAGATGAGAAATAAAATATGAATGCTGCTGCACAAGTAAACTCATAATTCCATCTACAATCCTAGCCATGTGCTTTCAAGAAAGGTTAATTGATACTGACGCAAGTTGAGAAAAAGTCTTTAAAATGACAAAGTGAATAAATAACCAAAAGAAGAAAAGCTTGGCTTACGTTGTACAAAATAAATGTAAAATTTTTTAAAAAGTACTGTTCTCAATTAATATATTGCTAATACAGAAAGAAGGAGCTCTATTAAGCTGTAAAATGTTGGATTGGACTTGATAGCCCTAGACACTATTTTAATGTGGATAACCATGCTCCTGACTCCTTGACCCTGAAAATTAAGCCTTAGATGCTGCTTCTCAGACTTTTCCTCTTCTGTCAGTCACAATGATGGCAGAGTAACAAGTACTTACTCATACACCTTAACCGTCATCTACCATCCTTGCATGCTATTTCCTACCTAAAACTGAGACAGCTGACTATGCGGCACAGTCCACATTTTTCATCAGTCTACTCAGTTATTTGAAAAGTATGATACAAATAAACACACTGCAATACACGATTAAGCACGTTAAACTTCAATTCATTATTTATGGCCTTGAGGGTTTAGTTGACTAATATTTCAAACAGACTATTGGCTAGTTTCAGAATTTCCTCAGATTTGACCCTATAAGATCGTCCTATTCTCGTTTAGGTTAACAGTGGAATGTTAAGGTCAGCACTACTGAAACCAGTTTTGGAAAGAATTCCACCTTTTTCTTTGTTTTTTAGTTCTTTTATCATTTTCTTACAAACTTACAAAAGCCTTTGTTACTTTTCTTAACCTTTCATTACTCTAAAGAGATACAGTCTGACATTCATATACACACTAAACCAATCATAACATTACTGCTTTTACAAAAAAGGGCAAGTTGAAGACAGCAGTGAACTTTAGTAACACTTTTTATTAGAAATATTTTGTTAAAGTTCAAACAAAAATCTGCAGCTAACTATCAGAGAATTTGCTAATTTTCAGTGAATCACTCGTAGTAACTGATACTCACTGCTTATGAGAATTAGCCCCAAAATCTAGATTACGAATCTTTGCCTGATAGTACCATTCTGAACAATGTATTAATGCAATGCTTTTTAATATTCTGTGCAAGTAATGAAGACACATATGCTAAGATCAGAAACTAATAAAAAACATATTAGTAAGGAAAATCTGCATACCAGAGCTGCCATGGCCCAGCCAGTTTTGTTGTAGATGAACTCTAAGTTATTTCTTCGCAGATATAACAACCCACCAACAAGAGATACCAGAAGAGCCAGTGCAATTGTACCAGAATAGTTAGGAGGCCTGAACACTCTAATCTGGAAAAGATAAATGCAAATACAGATTGCAAATAAATGCATACATACAGATCATCTACCATATAAAAAAACAGGGAGCATCTGAAATCTGATTTCACAGTCAGAAAGACTAACCCCTAAAGGTATACTTAAATAAGAAAAAAATATACTTCCTTTAGTAAGCACATAGTATGAAAAAAGTTTTAAGCATAATTTTGAACTGTTCAACTCCAAAACATTATTTCTTCAACAGATTTGCAGGTTATGTCTGAATTAGGAGCAGCTACCTTTGGATCTATCTGTTTTGTATATTGTTTTGCAAAGCACATTTTACTTACTAACAACTAATTATCACAATATCACTGCTTGTTTTCATCCAGAATAAGACTACATAAAATTTGACAAAGCAAGAATGGAATATAATCTGCAAACTGCAGATGTTACCACAAGTACCTTGACTATATTTTTTTTTAATGTGTTCTAGAACCTACATTTGAGGAAAAAAAGTATTAAGGAAAGACAGAATTTGTCATCAGCCTGTCTCAGACTGCAAAGATACATTTGGCTTCAACTTTTAAAATTGTTGAAAGACTTACATGAACATCTGTTCTGTCAGCTATCCATTTAGCTAGCTGCTCAGCTGCAAATCCGATTCTCTGCAGGTCAAACGTGTCAGCTCTCTTGGGTTTACCTTTTGGAGGAAAATGCATGAAAGTCGGAGCAGAGTTCATATTCAGCTACAAAACCAGGAAAAATAGCAGAAAAAAATGAGTAACTCTATCCTCAAAAATGTTTACCTTTTATGTATAAGACAACACAAGTCTAATTAGCATGAAAAATATTATTTGCCTCCATACGTTACTCTTTTTTATACATCTTCATGTATAGTCCTGCAAAAAGAGGGCTCAGAATATTCCTTCCTGTAGATTCTTTGGGATGTTTAATTATTCAGAATATTTCACCCACAAGCTTTTCTGAGTAAGAGTATGTTATGCTTTCAAGTTCTCACACACTGTAAGAACTTTCCTGTAATTAGTAAAACAGAGACCTCACACCCATCCAATCTATTAAAGTATATTAGGTTATAATTCTAGGGGAGGAAAAAAGTGTTCAAATAGCTTGACATTGTTTCTCTTGCCTAGCTCTCACCAATACAATGTTAACTAAACTACTCATCTAGCCTTCCACTGGCTTCAGCACAGACTATCCACTACTGACTAGTTCTTTTTTGAATCCAGAAAAGCTTAGATAACTAGCTTAGACTACGTAACTTGCCCTAGAAATTACATGACCTATTAATCCATGTGTTGATGTCACAGTATATCAAAAAACTCAGAGGTGATAAACAAATAGATTTACATTTACATTTGCCACTTTAAATTTTGACTTCAACTTTGCAAGGTGGTATAGGACAATATAATTTTACCATATAAAATTCCTCCATATTCAGTCCATCTCAGAAACAGTGCGCTAAAACACTTGAAAAAAGGAAAATTAACATAAACAAAATCAGGGGAATACTTAAAGAGGTTGAAATATGGAGATCTTTAAATAACAAACACAGAGTAAACTTGTTTGTTTCACTCCTGCAAAATGAGTTTTATCACATTACCAAAACATAAAATTTAATCAAGTACAGAACTGAATTTATCGACAGAAGTTATCAGCTATGAAAATATTTTCCATATAAGCAAAAAATAGCCCTCTTCTTGAGTGAACTGATTTGGAAATAAAAAATATTCTGAGAAAGGCTAAGACAAATGTGGTGAAATAGTTTAATAAAATATTTTATAAGATACAGAAACCTTCTGAGGTACAGAAATCTTCTGACATTGTATAGACTTTGGGAGCAGTTGGTCTGCAACTGCTTTGTCATTTCTTTATAAACAGAGTAAAAGCTGAAAAATGAAGTCACGTTACCTTTTTGGGGTTTTTTGCTATGGCATCGGTACTACATTACTTGTTTGCACACATAAATGTAAGGTCAGAACTACATTTCTCCCAAATCCACCTTAAAGTAGTCATTAGTATCACTTATGCTTAACACTGTATTTCTCAAAAACAATCAAAACCATACATATTTTATCTAATTTGGTCTAACTTTTACATGACTTTAAATGCATACCACCTGAAATAACTGAATCTGTGCCCTTGGCTTAAGGCAAGCTCAAACAACATATTTTGTATTATTGTAACCATGTAGGATAATGTAAGATAACTTTAAAGCTTATTTGAAAAAAAATTTTTAAAGCAAAATCTTAAGCCATTAATAACCATTTTTTACACAATATGTTATAAGATGTCAACTGGAAGTAAAAATATTTTTTAAACACATTAATTAAACTTTTAAAATTATTAAGTATTTTAAAAATACGTATTAAATTTTTCCCATGAAAATTTCAAATCACACACTTCACCAAAAGGTGGTTAAAGATACAGAGAACTTCAAAACTTGTCACTTCTCTTAATGAGCATTTTTAACTTCAGTCAACGGATAAATATCAGAGAAAAGCATGTCAGTATTTCATATAAATTTTCAAGGGATGCGTTTTGCCTTGACTACTCAGTTTAAGAGGGGGTCTTAGACTGTTCATAGCCAATATATAAAACCTAAACCAGTCTCCTCTCTTTTCCCTGAAGAACTTCCAGACTAGTACAAATATTACTGGAGTTGAAGAATATTGTATTACATAAAAACAATTAAAAGGCTCTTTTAGTTAAGAGCTTTTTTTCCCCTGAAGATAAAATAAAGAAAATCTTTAAATGCAAATGTTAGTTGCATTGCACTTAATTCTAAAAAATGACAATAACAATGGGCTGAAAAAAAATTTGCATACATATAATGTAATCTATAAACAAACATTATAAACTAAACTTGGAAAAAACTAGAAGTGGTTACTGGTAATACCTGTCTTCACTAATGTCATAGAAAGTGCAGTGCCTGCTGTTTTTAACCAGCAAGAATTTGTATACAAAACACAGAGGTACACACCTACACGCAGAAAATAATTTGTCTTGTATCATTTGGCAAATCAACATGTAGTTCCAAAAAATAAGAATGTTTTACAGTATCCAACATTTACCTGTTGAAAAACATCTGCCCCTTCATCATAATCCACTATTGTGAAAAACAGTTTGTTTGAAAAAGCAGATGAATAGCGCCATGAATTAGCCAGCACTTGATATTCTTCATTAGCTTGCCTGTTAAGGAAAAGAAACAAATGTACATCCATGTGGCATTCGCTGGCAAAAAAGATTCTATAGCCAGCTGCAGCGGTTAGATGAATTACACTTGCAGTATCATTCTCAACACCCATACTATCAATTAAAAAAAGTTTCAGCTAGTTATGCAACTCTTTGCTTCAAACTTGCCTTCTCCAAAATTAGAAATGTGTTAAGTCAAACTATACCAGAGACATCCCAAGATTACGTTAACAAAAAGTAATGTTTTCCTTATTTAAAAGTCTCAGAAAACAGGAGTGGCCTGAGTGGCAAGCATTCCTCAAATCTGCTAACAGATCCATGCAAGGAGATGCTTATGTGATGCTTATCAAGTACAATATCAGGTTTTACTTGCTGAAGACAGCTGCACATAAGGAATTCTGAAACTAGTGGAAAAATAATACAGAAATGTGACAGTAGTAATCTTCCTAAAATAGCAGAGCCATAGAAAGAGCCACAGAAACTCCTAAGCACTGGGGAAATGATACTAACTAAATGAACAGTAGGCTTGTAAGTAGCATAATACACTCAAGATTATTTCTATAAAACTTGCTTTAAAAGTGATAAAGGATAATTATGCACAACATACAGGGTTAAATAATCTTTTCTATCATCACTAGAAAGTCATATTGCTACTACTCAAATTTGTCAGAAAGCCTCCTCTTAGCTTTACTCATGGCTCTACATTCAGGTGAAGTTTTTTTGGTTGGTTGGGTTTTGTTTGTTGGTTCGTTCATTTTAAAAGAAAAAAAACAAACAACAAAACAAACTTGTACAGGTGGCTGAGCTGCAGGAGGCGGTGAGAAGGCTGCGTAACATCAGGGAGGCAGAGAAGGAGCTAGACAGCTGGTTCCAAGCGCAGTCTGCAGCGGACCCGCAGCCCATGGCCAAACAACCAGTAACTCCCCCACTGGCACATGCACAAGGGAGCCGGGGGGCCAATAATGCAGAAGAATGGATGGTTGAAAAGGCAAGGACCAGCAGGAGGAAGAGACTCCCCCCGAAGCCTGAGATGCCCTTGCAGAACTGCTTCACTGCTCTGCAGGACAAAAAGGAAAGTCCTGTCACACCAGGAGAAGCACTGGAGCTGAGTAATGCAGCCCGATCTGCCCCCCGTATAACAACCAGCGCCACTAAGAAAAGGCGATGGGTGATAGTAAGTAGTAGGTGACTCTCTTCTGAGAGGTACGGA